CCCTTTCCCCACCTGTTTTTCCCGCCTCTCCCTCCCGTTTTCCCGCTGTTTTCCCGGTCTCTCCCACCCCTTTTCCCGCCCGTTTCCTTCCMTTTTCCCGCCCTTTTCCCCACGTCTCTTTCATCCCGCAATGGCTCCGGCACCGTCCCAGAGCCGCGGCGCCCTTGGGACCCCCTCATTCCAGAGAGTGGGAACGCGGGAGGCCCCACAGGATGGGAGCGCGCCCAAGGCCTCAGAGCCGGGAGGGGCAACGGGAATCGGGATCCCCCGGGAATGCCGCGCGCTCCTGCCCATCTCCCGCCCTCTTCCCTGGGCTTGCGGGCTGGGCTCCCGTTTTTTGGGATATAAAAGGATTTTTTGGGGACACCGAATCCGGAGGCACCAACTTTGCAGATTCTTTTCCCTCCTTTCGCTCTCTTTTCCCCTCAAATCCAACGTTGGAATCTGGAATCTCCTGCTCCCAAATGGAGAATCTCCTGCTCTTCCCATTCCTGGGAGCCAGCGGTCCGGCGCTTCCCGCTTTCCCTCCTCTTGGAACAAAACCAGCCCGGAATTCCGAGGCTCTCCTGGCCGGGACGAGATTCCTGCAGCTTTTCCCCCGGGCCGCTCTCTTCCCGGTGGCAAAATCCACTGCAGCCGAGTCTGCAGCGGAGCCGAATCCGACATTCCTGGGCAAATCCCGACTGCGGGATCCCACAAAAGCCGCTTTGTCGGGAGAGGAGAGAGAGGAAACCTCCTTTCATTTGACTTTCCCAGCGGAAAAGCCGGCGTTTTAGGGATCCGGGGGGAAAGCGGGAGCGTCTGTGGGTTCGAGGAAAGCCACGGGATTCGGCGGGACGCGGTTGGAGCGAATCCCTGTGGAAAATGGAGCCCCCCCCCAACGCGTCCTTCCCGTTTTCCCTGTGACATGTCCCGTTTTTGTGTCTCTTTCCCTCTTTTCCCGCCGCTCCGGCTCCTTCCCGCCGGCAGAGCATCGTGCGGGGCAACAAGGCGGCCGAGGACGGATCGCTGGCCTGGCTGCTCGACGAGTTCCAGGCCGTGTCCGTGTCCCGCTCCAATTCCCTGCGCCGGGACAGCCCCCCGTTCCCGCCCCGGCTCCCCCGGGAGAACGGCCTCTCCCAAGGGCCGGCGCTGCTTCCCGACGACGCCGGGAATGGCGAGAGGATCCGCTCGGGAAGCGCCGGCGAGCCGGAGCGCGGCCGGGAGCTGCCCGCATCCCGCCCGCCTCCCGACTATCCCAAAGATCCCAAAGCCGAGGGCAAGGGTCGCTCCCGCCGCACCAAGAGGCCCCAATCCGGATCCGGATCGGGCTCCGGCACCGCCGGCTGCCTTCCCGACATTCCCGCTTCCCGCGGGGAGCTGAAGACGGCCCGGCACGCGGGGCGCCCTTTCCACACCTATCCGCGGGCCGAGGGCGCCGCTTCCCAGGTAACAATTCCCGGGAATTCCCGGCAATTCCCACGCTTTGCCGCTTCCTTTCTGTTCGCTCACGTCTCCGGGGCTCCGAGTGGCTGCTCCGGTGGATCCCGCGCTTCCCGCTGTCTCCCATCGTGTCCAACACGGATCTCTGTCTCTCAGGGGCTCCGAGCGCCTGCTCCGGTGCATTCCGCCCTTTCCCGCTTCCCTGYCGTCTGCTTCCATCCCGTTCCACACGGATCGCGCTCTTTCCGGGGCTCTGAGCGGCTGCTCCGGCGGATCCGGAGGCTCCCRACTGTCTCCTATCCCTATCCTTACATGGATCTCTGTCTTTCCGGGGCTCCGAGCGACTGCTCCGGCGCATCCGGAGCTTTCCCACTTTCTTCTATTCCACCCAACATGGATCTCTCTCCCTCCGGGACTTCAAGCTCCGGTGGATCCGGAGCTTCCCGACTGTCTCCCATCCCTATCCGCACCCCGATCTCTGTCTCTCCGGGGCTCCAAGCGGCTCATCCCAGGCTTTCCCACTGCGCTCTATCCCACCAATAGGGATCTCCTCTCTGGGTCTCCAAGCGGCTGCTCCGGCGGATCCGGAGCTTCCCGACTGTTTCCCATTCCTATCCCTACATGGATCTCCATCTCTCTGGCTCTCCAAGCAGCTGCTCCACTAGATCCAGGGCTTTCCCGCCGCCTCCCATCCCTATCCCGCTCTCCCGGCGCTCYGGAGCGCCTTCCTGCCAACCAGCATCCCGCCTTTCCCTGCTGCAGGCGGAACCGCAGCCCGGCCGGACGGCGGCCTCGGCTGCCCTTCCGCGCGCTCCGGGACCACCACCGGCACCGGGACCACCACCGGGACCGGCACCG